GCAAGGCCCTTTTATCTATAGACACATGTCATTGGAAGGGTTATCTTTGAAGTATTTACTAATGTCCAGTATAATTTCTTAAAGCCTGCAGATTTGTTTTCTGGTCAGCTTTTGGCATTTCATTTATAAATATGGCTTATGTCTTTAGTACAGATACTCAAGATACTATTATATGAAATCCAATAAGTAGGACCAAAAGAAATTGCTGTCTTTGAGCATGTTAGTAACACCAAGCGTTTGAGTTGATCCCACTGAGGCTGTTAAGACACCAGAGATGAGGGACAGCATTGTTAAAACAAGCCTTCAAACACTTTTGTGAAATCCCTAAATTCTAAAAATTAATCCCCAAGCTGTAATTGTATTTCAAATATTAAAACTATTTTTTTTATTTTTTTGTATGGGGTATGAAACTCGGGACCTTTCGCTTGCAAGGAAGGGGGCGGAACTACTGATCTAAACCCCTGGCCCCTAAGACTATTTTATTTACAGAATCATAAAGCAATCATATTATTAGTGACGTTGAGAGAGAGTGTTGAGTCAGCCTGTGATCCAGTCAGAGCAGATTTCCAGAGTAGATTTTTAGTTTAACTGAGGTTTAGGCACAGCAAATTCAGTTGCAGTATACTAATAATTATACTTTATGTTTAATCAGCTTATGTAATTATTTAAATATTTTAAACAGCTAAAAACATTAATTGGCAACACCAAAGAATATAGGTGTTCGACGGGCCCGTTCCAGCCATCTAAAATTATCTGAAGTCTATACTGAATTTATAAACACAATCACTATGAGAGCCATTGTGCTCGGGAAGGCTGAGGAGGGAGGACCGTAAATTCAAGCCTAGGGTGGGCAACTTAGTAAGTCAGCAAGATCCTGTCTCAGAATAAAAGTTGTGGAGAAGGACTGGGAAAGCAGCTCAGTGTGAAGGCCCAGGGTTCAATCCTTAGCACTCCATGAGGGTGTGCACACACTTGTGCGTGGGTGAGCACACACACTCAAGGAAAAGAACACCTTTGTGTTGGTTTGTTCTCCCACTTCTTGTAGTGATTGTTTAAATAAATAAATTTCTTAAAAATATGATGTTCTTAAAAATAAAATTTCTTGCACCTTTTTAAACTTCAGCATTGCAGTCAGCAAAGAAGCCCCCGAAACACTTTGAATTAAGTCTATGTCCAAAGATGATGATCCCTCATTAAATGCCAAGGGAATTATTAGCAGCATAATGAATATAATTGGTCATGACTCCATATCATTAAAGCAAGATTTAATTCATCATTCATTCGAGTGCTCATTCTATGCTATCCACTGACTTGTTACCGTTTCGTGGTCTTATTAGTAATATTGGAATTAGTGTTATTTTTTACTACCTGTAACGGAGTGCATATAGCGCCACAGGAATAGAAGAGAAGAAGCAAGTAACTCTGCCTGAGGGCCAGACACATGGTACTTAGAGGAAGCAATGTGAATGTGTAGCTGGGAAATAGCGCAGAGGGATTTTACTGTATGGATATATTCAACTGCATGTGGGAAGAGGGAGCAGGAACAAAAGCTTTACTTACTAAAACAACACCAGAGTTGTTGCACTTCTCAGGATAAAGGGAGGATTTTCTTGTAGCCAGGTTGACTAGTTGCTTAACAAGATAGAAAGAAGCACACCTTCCTGATTGTAGTTAGGAAGAAAGCCTGTGCCAGAAATGAGAGCCCCAATTTGAGGCCGTTGACGAATTTCTCCGGACCTGCAGATCTCTTATATGTTTTGTATTTCACTTCTAACTTGTGCATCAATAACCAAGCTATGTCTGATGAAGCTTTCTGTTGCTAATTTTGTTCTTGGCTGTAGTTGTAGATTGAAAGGATGAGCTGGGATGAGATGAGTTATGCAAGTGTCAGGTGCTAGGCAGGTGTTAGGGATGAGCAAAGGTAGAGATGGGAACCTCTTCCTTAAAGCTCCTGGCCGAATAGACATAGGTGTATGAAGACTTTCAGAAATCAACATCTGACTTGAGCATGGTTAGTTTCTAAGTGATAAGGCCGAAATTCTATGCCCTGTGTACTGAGACTTGAAAGATGGGTGCGCATTTTCTGGGGGACAGTGATTTGAGGCAGAACATTCTGTGTACCGAGGACAGTGGGCAGTGCACGGCACCACCCCTAGTATATCTTATGCACAGCTGTGAAGTGCTCCACTACACCTGACAGAAAGTGGGAGCTGCAAAGGGCCTTCAGCCAAATGCACGTGGTTCAAGGGTCAGAGCAGAGCCAAGGTGGAGAGTGGAGGTGAGAAAAGAAAAGCAGTGGTCAGGTGGTGCAAGTCTTGTGTAGACCATGTGATGTGAACTTGTGAGCAGGCCGTGGAGATTTGGGATAGAAAAAGGTGACTCTGGAAAACGATAGTGAAAGGATGAGGAGCTTGGAGTAAGACTGGATCAAAGGACCAATTCAGAGATTTACCTAAGATCCTCAGTCTTTCAAATAAGGGTTGTTAATTGGGAAGGTAGGAAGCAGACCTATCAAAGAAGTGCCAACAGATGGTGACCAAACTCTTTCACTGGCCTCATGATAACTCTTGGGATGTTAGAGAGAAGAGTCTTGCTCATTTCTTTGCTGCAAAAACAGTTATTTCAGTTATTTCTGCAGAGTCCATTAACTTGATGACTGTGTATATTGAATACTCCTGATCTGTACTCTGCTAGATAGGTTTCTTCCTAAGGTCAAGCAAGTATGGATTTGTTCAGAAATTGCTTTCACAATACAGATGCAGTTCCTTTCTTGTGTTTTCCTTGTACTGTTAATGTCGAATGTCACAAAATGTCTGCCTGCAACAAATTATAGTAATGGCAAAATCTTTTGTTATGAATGAGAAGCCCATGAGGAATGTTGACCAATCCTTATCTTATATGATCTCATCAGAGAATGTTACCCTGCCTCCATTTTTTCATCTAAACTAATTATATATTTGATAAATATGTGTGCTGAATGAAACCAATGTTATATATTGCTCTCTCTTGCCTTGCCTTTGAATTTGAAATACTTTTTTGAGCATGATAACCTAAATAATATTGCCTCACCAAGCTTCTTTAACTATCCTGAAAATAGTTTTATATGTTTGAAACTAAACTTAATATGAATCCATCTTCAGCCCAATATAGTTAATAATAATAATTTAGTAATTATCATTCCATGATGCAAAGAAAATACTGAACCTATAAAGGTAAGAGATTTAGTATTTTGCTACTTGCATTTTAACCAATATGGTAGCTATTCTTCTCATTTTACAGTCAGGAAAATGGAGGCCAAACAGGCTAAATGTCTTACTTGAGATCCTACACTCAGCAGTGTAATGTTAGGTAGAATTCAGACCTGGGTATTTTTAATCCAAATGCTATATTACATCACACTGGCCTGTTTGTGACCAACCAAGTGAAGAAAATCATTAATTTCCTTCCATAATCATACTGCTATTTTTAGACAATAGTCATTTAGCATGAGGAGGCAATATACATACTCAAACAGTTTTACCTATGAATTTTTGGGCTATAGATTTTAACTCCATATGATATAAGAGTTCGTAAGATCTTCACTTCTCACCCAGGGGAGTGGTGTGGATGGATGAGACGTTCACTGACCCAGGAATTTGAAAAGTAAAACACAGCTGATGTCTGGTTTTAGTTTTGTTAGTGTCTGTTGTGGGCTGAATATTTATGCCCCCGCCCCATCCTATGTTTAGTACCTAACTTGTATAGCATTTGGAGTTAGGGGCCTTTGAGATGTAATTTCCTTTTTTGTTTTTTTTTGGTACCAGGGATTGAACTCAGGACTTGCACTTGCAAGGCAGTTGGCAGCACCACTGAGCTAAATCACCGGCCCTGTAATTGTCTATTGACATCATGCAGGTGGTGTCCATCTGATGAGATTCCAGTCCTTATCAGAAGAGAGAGACCAGCGTATTTCTCCTCTCTCTCCCTCTTCCACCGTTCTTGATATCCCTCATCTCCCCTCGCTCCTTCCCTCCAATGCAAAGGCTGCTGTCCTCAGGCCAACTAGAGAGCCCCTATCAGGAATGGAATTTGTACAAAACCAAATCTTGTCCTTCCCAGCCTCTGGAACAGTGACAAATAAACCTGTTGTAAGTCGCCCAAGTTAGGACAGCATCTGTGCAAGTTGGGCCCGGTTGTACTGGGGAGGACAATATGGAATTTGTGGCCATGCTGCTGCTATCATCTTATAGTGAACTGTTTACAAAGCAACTCTCCTTCCAGGAAGTAGCACCACATCAGATGTTATGGTAAAAACAAAGACCTGTGATAACAATAACAGGCGCATCTGACACATATGGATACACACACAGGTCACACATAGCTCCTTAAACTGCACAACTTTGTGCCACCAGTGGAGAATGGTGCAATCTCCTCAAGGCTTCCAGGCTTATTATGATGGCAGCAGGGTCACAGTTTAAAAAGCATTAATCCCATTTGTCATGTGTCTAACTCAGCAGACATCTATCTTAGCCAGTTTGTAAATACAAAGAGGCCATGTTGTCGTACAGCCCTTCAGTCCCTCCCAGATTTCAGCACTTGAGGACAAAGAATGCCCTGGAATCCTCACTGATGCTGGAGCTACGGTCAGGTAGATGTGTGTGTGTGTGTGTGTGTGTGTAGTGTGTGCACCTACAGGGGAAATTAGCCCAGGAGATGGGAAATGTGTCCAAAAGCAAAGTGTAAGAGGCAGGCAAATCATCCAGCATAGTTCAGGCTGTGCCTAGAGAACAGGCCTCTTTTCTGGGTCTGGGCCCTCTGGACAGCTCTTAAACTCTATTGGAATGTTTGCAGCAGAGTGGGGGAACAAAACAAACCAAGACCACCATAGCACCCTCTGCAGGATGGAGTTGAACCAGGATGGGAGGAACAAAGGATGAGTGGAAAGGAAACAAAGAACCCAAAATTGCACTTTTAAATAGTCTAGTTTCCAGGAACCAACCAAAGTTGAAGAGTATACCAGCATTCTTTCGGTTAAATTTAGATCCCTTCCCTAACAGACCACTACACCCCAAAGTCCTTAGGAATACTAAAATCCCATACATTGGCTTGATTGATTAAGTAAGGTTAAAGAAAGGGGGGATGAGCAAAGTAAGATGTAGGTTGAGCAAACCCAAAGAATGTTCCATTTAAAAAATGCCCCTACCTGTAGAATGGGTCAATATGCTTCTGGAGGGAGGGTCACCTTTTCCTGGGATTTTCCAACCCTTCAAGAAAAATATAAATGTTTCCAGTTTCAAATTATAATGTGCCTCATTTCTCTGAGGGCCCGCACTCCATTCTTGAGTGTGTCCTAGCATCTCTGTCTAATAAATCCTCCCTATACCTCTTACTGACACATCGTGGAAGTTGTTCTCCTGCGGGGAGTCAGAAAGGTACAGAAAGGTAGGTTAGATTCCTTATTTCCGCCTCAGGGGCACTCAGACCCAGTGGTGGTGGGGTCAGTTGGAGGATGTAGCACTGCTCCTCTCCCTGTGATTCTAGAAGGGCTGGAGAGGGAGGCACAGCTCCTGAGATTGAGCCAGCTCTGAAACACCTCTGGTTGCCAGTGTGCAATGGGTGGGTGGGCTTCGATGGTAGTTGGCTCATCTTGGTCCCTAGTGGGATTATGAGTGTTTTCCAGGACTTTCTAAGGGTCAAGTGCCCATAGTTTATATGGCACTCATAAATTCTAAAGAAAGAATTCTAAGGAATTCAATGTTACTGCCTGTAGGCAGTCACTCAGAGGAAGGAAGCTTTTTCATTTCTAGTTTCTCAGCATACTTACATTCATGCTTTAATTTTCTTTTTACCTTCTTCCATCCAACAAATTTATAATGAGCACTTGGCTGCAGGGTGGATGCTGCACTAAGTGTATACATTCTGGGTGTGGAAGATGGGCCAGAAGAGCTTCCTTCCGGCAGGAAGCAGAGCCAGCTGTGTGGTATCCCTTCCCTCCTCCCTGGTGGCACCTGTGGAGATGCTGTTCAGGATGTGGTTCCAGCATAAACAAGGCACCTAAAGCCATGCATTGCAAATTTCCCTCTGATCCTTTGCTTATCTCTTTAGCCTCAACTCAATTTCAAATTCCCAGTTCTGGGACTGGCTCTGGTTTTAAGATATAGTTTCTTGCCCATCTTTCCTAGGGTTGTCTAAATGGCTAGCTAAGTTTGAAAAATTTTGGTCAGGACTAATTTGAAGTGGATCCACCCAGCTCACAACCATGTTGTATGGAGGTTGCCCCACTGCTTCAATCCTTTGTAGCATAGTGAGCACATCATAGGGCAGCCCTCCCTTCCTTCCTCTCTTTCTCTTCCTCCCTTTCTTACTTCCTTCATTTTCTTTCTTTGGTGAAATGGCCCAGTCAGTGCATTGCT